GGGGTTATGAGCACACCGCTGCACCTGGCCAGTTGACGTGGGTGTTGGGATTGAACTCAACTATTGCTAGGGCAGCCAGCACTCTACCAAAGCTCATCTCCTCATTCCTTTTTGTTTGGGCATGGGGGCACTCCTACTCTACAGCCCCAGCTGACTTCAAAAGCACCGCGTAGTCCAGACCGGCCTGGCATTCACAACAATCCTGCATCTGGCTACTGAGTTCTGGGATCACCCTCGGGCACCACGAGGCTCTGGGCTTCCAACTGCACGTCCTGTCTCTGCCTCGTGAGCAATCATCTGCAGAGCTTTCCAACAGTGTGCCACAGACCCCCTTCAGACTAAGTCACCCCATGACTTAGTCAGCTGTCTTTAGCAGCACACGGCAACTGGTTTGTGCCTTTTAACAGTGTGTGTGCTGGGAGGGGACATCGGAGGGGGCTACAGCTGGGATACAAAGTGAGTAAATTGTAATATAAATAAATAAGAAGAAAGTGTGTGTGTGTGACAGCAAGTTTGTGGAGGTCAGCGTGCAACCTGTGGGAGTTGGTTCTTTCCTCCACCAAGAAGGCCCCAGGGTTCAAACTTAGGTTCTCAGGCTTTGAAGCAAGTAGCCACTGGGCAACTTGTGGGCTAAGCTTGTTTGTCTGTTCATAACTGTGTCATCACATTCTCCTGCTCATATCTTTGGCGGGGCGGGGGGGGGGGGGGGGGGGGGGGGAGCTAGAGAGATGGCTCGGTGGTTAAGAGCATGTCCTGTTCTTCTAGGGGACGCAAGTCTGATTGCCTGCACCCACAGTGGGCAGCTTCAGAGGGTCCAATGCTTCTGACCCCCGAGTGCCCTCCCTCCCAGGTGCACGCCCCTACACGTGTACTGTGTGTGGGTGCGCGCGCACAGCACGCACAGCACGCACAGCACGCACAGCACGCACGTGGAGAAGGGTAGTCTGCGACCTTGTCTTCCAGCTAGTTTGAGACTCAGTCCCTGCTGTGTGTGTGTGTGTGCTCACCCTGGCCTCCTCCCCAGCTGCAAATGCCTGCCTAGCTGGCCCTCTGTCTTCTCCACTTCCCGTTTCCCCATGGGAGCCCTGGGATTACATTCATGCTATCTGGCTCGTTCTGGAGACCTGAGCTCAGACCCTCCCACTAATGCTGCAAAGGCTGTCACACACCAAGCCCTCTCAAACACACTTAAAATGCATTTCCGTAGGGAAGTGCTGGGGCACACCTTTAATCCCAGCACTTGTGGGGCAGAGGCAGGCAGATCTCTGAGTTTGAGGCCAGCCTGAGCTACAGAGTGAGTTCCAGGACAGCCAGAGCTACGTGGCTACACCAAGAAACCCTGTCTCATACAACAAAAAACAAAAACAAATTTTCCTCCCTAACTGGCCCTATTATGACTGATGCCGAGGCAGAGTAGACTCAGCAAACTGCAGGAATTAGAGGATGTCTAAGGGATATTTCTCTGTGCAGCCTTGGCTGTTATGGAATCATTTGTAGATCTGGCTGGCCTCAAACTCAGAGATCCACCTGCCTCTGCCTTCTGAGTACTGGGATTAAAGGCATGCACCACCAAATCCAGTTACTAAACCTTATTTTTAAGTGGCTAGAAGAGAACATTGGATCTTCTGGAACTGGAGTTACAGAAGGTTATAAACTGTCATGTGTGTGTGCTGGGAATTGAACCCTGGTCCTCTGGAAAAGCAATCAGTGCTCTTAAACACTGAACCATCTCTCCAGTCTTTTTTTTTTTTTTTTTTTTTTGAGACAGGTTTTCTGTATAGCCTTGGCTGTCCTGGACTCACTTTGCAGATCAGGCTGTCCTGGACTTGGAGGATCTTCCAACCTCTGCCTCCTGAGTGCTGGGATTATAGGCCTGTGCCACTTTGTCCTGCTTCAGTCCTACTTTTTGACACAGGGTCTCATGTAGCCCAGGTTAGCTAAGCAAAGATGACCTTGAACTCTCCGATCCTTCTGTGTCTGCCTCTCCAAGTGCTGGGATTACAGGCAAGGAGCACTATGCCCAGTTAATGTGGAGCTGGAGATTAGAGCCCGGGGTCAAGGTGATCCTGGCTGGATCTGGGGTCAGTGTGGAGACTCGCCTCTGGACAGGTTTGTAAGGGTTTCCTGGACGGATTAACTGATGATGGGGAAGATTATCCCCCAGAGTGCAGACTCTTCAGCCAAAAGCGGAAAGCAGGCCTGGTTTTGCCTGCCAGTCTCCATCCTCTGCTGGTCAGTGTATCCATCCGGTAGCTGCTGCCACTGCTGCCAGCTTCCACTGATACTAAAACCAGCTTCTTCGCCCTTCCAACATGGATTGAAGATGAGCAGCCATCCAGGAATCCTCCAGGCTGTTAGCACTATACTGAGAATTAAGACCTCCGTGGACTGAAAACTACAAGGGAATGCTAAAACACTAGGCAAGTGCTATCCCAACTCATGTGCATTCCCTGCTTTCCCATCACTGATGTAAAGCCATATACGCAGAGCAGCCCTTCTAGTAGACAAGATCAAAGAGTCAGGGTTAGGGAGCTGGCAAGACAGAGGGAAGCAACTAGTTAAACTGCAAATTTCTATAGCATGAGAAGGGCCACCTTTTCTCTTAGGAATCAAACTTATGGAGGCACAGGACCAGCACGGTGTGTGCACGTGCTTGGACAATGAAGCGACCTCAGCAGGGATAATCCTGGCACTCAGGACCCCGAGGAAGCCAGCCTGAGCTACACAGGGAGTTCTAGGCTAGGTACAGAAAGAGATCCTGTCTCAAAGAAGCAAAAAAGAACAAGTAACTGCTCAACACACAAACCTGAATAAATTCTAATGAAAACATTACGATAAGTCATTTCCTGGGTGATCTTGGTGGCACATGTCTCTAATCCTATAATTTAGAAGGCAGAAGCAGGTGGCCTTGGACTCACAGACATCCGCCTGCCTCTGCCTCTCGGAGCGCTGGGATCACAGGGTTTCTTACACAGGGTTTCTTTGAGTCCTGTCTGTCCTAGAACTTTTCTGTAGACCAGGCTGGACTCAGAAGATCCACTTGTCTACGCCTCCCAAGTGAGACCCTGTCTTAACAAAAGCCAGTTCTGGGGAGGCAGAAGGATCCCTGGGGGTTTGAGGCTAGCTTCATCTACAAGGGACCAGGACAGACAGGGCTACACAGAGAAACCATGTCTCCAAACCCCCAAATCAAAACTATGCTTGCAAACTAACGACAATTTTTTTTTTTCAAATCAGTTAGGGTGAGAGGTGAAAGTAAAAGTAATCAAAACGTATCATATGCATATATGAAGCTGCCAAAAGACAAACTGAAAAATACAACAAAAATACAAACCATGTGTTGGACAAGCCGGCCTGTCCTTCCAGAAGACACTAAATCCTTCCATCTAATCAATCATCTATTTATCTATCTTCCTCGACACAGGGTCTTTCTGTGTGTCCTGGACTCACTTTGTAGACCGGGCTGGCCCTGAACTCAGGGATCTGCTTGTCCCTGCCTCACCGAGTACTGGGATTACAGGTGCGGGCCACCACGCTTGGCTGGTCAGAGGTTTTAAAAGGGTGGCTAGTGTAGCGCATTTCCATACAGGTTAACAATAGGTAGTCAAATTTACTTGCCACTAATTCTGGGCCAACCTGCTCGTAAACCCCAAACTGCAGCCAGGTATCCAACTGGGGAGGGCAAGGGAATACCAAGCGATTCGATGCGTCGGATTTTTATTTTGTTTTTGAAACAGCATCTCAAGACCTGGGGATACCCAAGCGGCAGCGGTGCGGCCACGCCCAGTCCGTGCACGTGGCCTTCACAGCTCTCCCTAACGCACCTTTACGGTGCAAGTCTGAGCACCGAAGGTCTGCGGGGAAGCGAGCCGAGGCCACATCGCCGCGGAACTTTCCTAAAGCGGAGGTCCCCGACACGGGCACCCCAAGGGCAGCGAGACGAGCACGATCCCAGCTCGGGGCGAGTCTTTAACCACGCCGTGTGACCTTGGCCACGCTCGACGCTCGCTCTGGGCTCCGGGTTCCAGACCCGCGCGCGCTGGATGGGGAAAAACCACGTGGTTTCCCCCCCCCCCCGCCCGTCCACGCCTCGGCGGCTGGCCGACCTCGCCATGGCTGCCGCTTCCTGTGGGCGGCGGCGCAGGGTTTTAACGGTCCCCTCCTCCCCGCCCCCTGCGGGGCCCGCGAAATGCCCCTGGCACCGACGCCGCGGCGAGCGAGCGCTCTCCGCCGAGCCCCGGCCGCGCGCAGCTCCGCCCCTCTCCGGAGGCGTCCCGTCGTGCCCCGCGGCCGCGCTCTCTGGAGCCCGGGAGCCTCCCGCCTTCGCGCGCGGCGACCCCGAACTCCTCTCCGCAGCTCTCCCGGCGGCCCGTCCTATCAACGTCCTGCATTTTAGCCAATCGGGCGCGCTCGGAGCCTTTGCCTTCCGCCCACCCTCCTCCCCGCGCACACCCGGCCTGAGACCCGAGGCTTTCACCAGACCAGGCCAATCAGCGGCCCGCGCCCGCCTGCCCCACCCCGATGTCCCGCCCCTCAGCCAATAGGCACTCCCCATCCCGCTGCCCGCCCAGCCAACCGGGCCTTGAGGCCCGCGGACGAATGGGCGCGCGGCGGCCCTTCAACGCTAACCTCCCAGCCAATGGGAGACTCCGCGTGGCCGCGGCGGCAGCCAATGACCGTGCAGCGCGGCGCCGCCGCGGAGAGGTCCGGCAGGAATATCCCTCCGCCTCCCTCCCTCAATCTCTCTCCCTCTCTGCGATCCGCCTCTCACTTACGGCCGCCCTTCCTTCTTTCTCCCTCCGCCGCCTGAGCACCAGCCGCGCTCCGAGCTGCCCCCGGGGTCCCTCCCCCACCGCCAGAGGAGCAGCTGCCGCCGCCTGGGCACCTTAGGAGGGCGGAAGGGACGAGAGTGGAGAGGAAGGGGAGCCGGAGCGCCTGCCCGGAGGCAGCCGGTGAATGGGCTTGTGGTGACCCCCACCCCCCACCCCACCCTCCCTTCCCACCCGACCCCCAACCCCCATCCCCAGTGGGAGCCGCCGCCCGAGAGGCCGGGCCGTCGTCTTGGGAGGAGCCGCCGTCACCTCCGCCATGGAGCTGATCACCATCCTCGAGAAGACCGTCTCTCCGGGTAGGACTCGGGGCCGGGGGTCGGGCTGAGGGGCCGGGGTGGGGGAGGGGGCGGCCCCCCTGACCCCGCCGCCTCTCCCCTCCTTCCCCCCGGCAGATCGGCTGGAGCTGGAGGCAGCGCAGAAGTTCCTGGAGCGTGCGGCCGTGGAGAACCTGGTGCGTGCCGCCCCGCCGCGCCCCAGCCCGCCGCGGCCCCGTCCCCTGCGTGCGGCCCTTCCCGCCCTCCCGGAGGCCCAGGCCTCGGGAACCCACCCCGCCCCAGCTCGTCCCCCTTCCCCCCCGCCCGGTCCAACCTAACCCCGCCATCGGGAAGCCGGTGGGTGTGTCCCGCCCCGGGCCCCGCGCCTGGCCAATGGCGGGCCTCACCGGGGGGACCGCCGGCCAATCGCTGCACGTCCTGAGGGCGGCGGTGCGGCGGAGGGAGAAAGAGGGAGGGAAGGGAAGTTAGGTTGCATGGCGCTGCGTGTTCAGCAAGGGTGGGGGTTGGGGACCGGGCCTAGGGGCCATGTGGAAGCTCTGCGCCCTGCTGCCTGCCTTCTGCCGGCCGGGGCCGGCTTCTCCTTCCTGTCCCACGGCTCTAGGGGCTGTCTGCAACTACTTTTCGGAGCCTCACCGTCTCCGAACTCCCTTGCTCTGTGCTCATGGCCACGCCTGCCCCCCGACCACCTCTGGACCCGTTGCCCCTGTTTTTTCCTTTTTGTGCCCTACTGTACCTATCCTGGGCTAAGTGCACAAATGTTCTGTTTGGACTTGGTGTTATCAGAGACCTCATCCTTAGGATCCGAGGCTGGGGCTCATTGCTGAGATTGAGCATGTTCCCTGAAGAAATCACAGAGGGGTAACCCCGTTTTTTCATATTTTCGGATATAAGTACATTAACAAAAAAAAAAAGACTGACCTTTGTATAGGAAAGTGGGGGATGACTGAGGCAGCCTGGTGCCAGAGTGTTTCTCCTCGCCTTTTAGGGGGGATGGGGAACAGAGGCAAAGGTGGATGTAATTAAAGTCCTCTTGAAGGTAGTAAGAAAAAAACTGTAACCAAATGTAGTTTTTGTGACAGCTTGGCAAAGTAGTAACATCTCTAAAGTGACAAACCCGTTTACACAAATCAGCTTTTTTTTGGTACAGAGGTAAGCCACAACTTTTCAAGCATTTCCTTGTTCCGTTCATGGTATATTTTTGTTTATGCTTTTGCTAATTTGCAAGAAGCCGGGTATCTTGCTCCTAACACTCTTCAGTGGCACATATTAAAACTTTGGGAATTGTTTCCTATGTTTGCTAATAGTAAGAAGATGTGTCTACTTGCAGCTTCTTTTAACTTTCCTGTTTCCGCAGATTACTTCCCCCCTACTCCAGAGACAGTTTGGAAGAGGAGGGAATGTGTTAAAAATTTTAGACAGAGTGGCTTTTCAGCCTGTTTTACAAAACATGGATATTTGAAGGATTCACTGTTGAGTTGACATGCTGCTATTAAAAAGGAGATGATTTTTCTTGAGACAACTTGTCATTTTAAATTTTTATGTTTTTCCATTTCTGGATACTAGTTACAAGTTTTACTTTTGCTGAACATTGAGAAATAAAATGCAGAAGATTTTATACTTCCATCTCTTTTATATATATATATATATATATCTGTTAGAAAAGACCAGTTCTCTGGGATCATATGGCTGCCCTGACTTATTTTTGACCTAATTTTTTTTTTTTAAGTATATAAAATTTTTCTCCCTTTTCATTTACAAATTTGTAGTACTGGACATTCTTGTAGGTGCTTGGGGAAGCGTGTACTTAGGGTAACCCTCCTCCAGCTTGTTAAATGGGCTTTAATTCTTCGGAACTAATTTGAAGATTTGGGCACAAAGGATGATCTTGGTAGGAAGACACCATCCCTTCATATAGTAAGTAATTACTCCATTGTTTAGTCTGGCCTTAAATTTTTGAACCCAGGTAAACCTCATGAGTGTTGCATCTAGGCAAGTACTTTTCAAGTAGATATTTCCTTCTTTCCTGAGAGATTTTGATTTGATCTAAATTTTGTATGTCTCTCAGTAGCTTATAAGCAAGTGAAAATTGATGAACTAACTACTCATTTACAAAAATATCATCTCTCCAGCCCACGTTTCTTGTGGAACTGTCCAGAGTGCTGGCAAATCCAGGAAACAGTCAGGTTGCCAGAGTTGCAGCCGGTCTACAGATCAAGAACTCTTTGACATCGAAAGATCCCGATATCAAGGCCCAGCACCAGCAGAGGTGGCTCGCCATCGATGCTAACGCTCGGCGGGAGGTCAAGAACTATGTAAGTGACTGTCATCTTGATGGCATCTGGCCTAAGGAATGTCTCCCGGGTCCTCGTTTTTTCTATGACTTACAGCTTGACAGTGAGAGGTTTCTGAGACTGACCTAAACCTTACCTGAAGGTAAAAATTTAGTTTGGTTAAAGTCTCAGTGTGGCAGTAGGTGTCTGGTGATGGGTTGGGTTTTGCTGTCTAGAGCGACCTGCAGCAGTTTGGGAAACTTTCGTCGGGTCTCTTGGTAAATTTAGAGATTTTAGAGGTTTAGAGGTCTCTTGGTAGATTTAGAGATTTAGAGGTTTTGTGCTGTATATTACAGCCACCTAAGAAATTTCAACGATAACTGTTTCCTTATGTGGGAGTTTAGCTTAGTGATAGAGGCTTCTAGCATCTGTAGTGCCTCAGTTTCTCCTTAACACCATATAAGAGAAAGTATATTTGGAGTCTCTAGATTGAAGCTAGGGAATTTATTTTCCACACAGCCTCATGTAGCCCAGGCCAGCATCAAATTTCTGGTCTTCTGTCTTCACTTCTCAGGTACTGGGATGGTAGGCATGTGCCGCCACGCTGTACTGTGTGTGATAAGGTGTTAGGTAGCCTGGCCCAGCCTTGAATTTGCAATAAAGTAAAAATACAGAACCTTTCTACGTTTACCCTGATTGCCGGGGTCAGGTCCCACCATGCCTGGATTTCCAGAGGTGTCCTAAAGTATTTTTTATTTTATTTATGTGTGTCAGTGTATGTTTGGGTACCTTTGGAAGCCAGAAGAGGATATTGGGTCCCCTGGAGCTGGAGTTACATTCCATTGTGAGCCGTCAGACAAAGGGTGCTGGGACTTGAACTCTCAGGTCCTTCGGGAGAGCCGGAAGTGTTCACTAACTGCTGAGCTGTCTCTCCAGCACAGTCAGCCTCAGGGGGCCAGTTTCCTGTTCTTTGGTTTTTACATGATGCTGTGTAAAGACAAAGGGATAATGAAGTGATTTTGAATCTTTCAAGGGTCAAGAGTTCGCAGAAGGGGGACCTAAGGTGTGTACCACCATGCCTGGTCCTACTAATGTTTCTTTTATGTACTTAATTATGAAAAACTTTCTTGAGATCTCAACATTGTGAGAGAAATAATGAAATTTTAAGGAAAATAGAATGTTCTTTATTTTTTGTTTGTTTGTGTTTATTTTGGAGACAGGGTTTCTCTTGTAGTCCTAGTTGTCCTGGACTTGCTTTGTAGACCAGGCTGGGCTCACAAAGATCTGCCTGCTTCTGCCTCACCAGTGCTGGGACTAAAGGCGTGCACCACCAAGCTCAGCTTCTTTGCTGTTTTTGTATTATGGCATTTTTGTGAGGTTTTTTATTGAATTAGAAAGCCCAGGATTCAAAAGTGCAGGTTTCTGTTTTTTGTTTTTAATTAGTATTTAGTGGCCTTTGTTGCATGGATAAGGGCCAAAGGAAGCTGGGCAACTTAAACGGCTTTGTAGTCATAACTTATTCTGGGTATGTGAGGGGGAAATGGGAGGACTTTCTGTGTTTGCACTCTGGGCACCATAATTGCTGGATTTAGATGCCAGCTCTCGGCAGGTATGTCCTTTGAAGCAGGTGCTTCCCAAGCCATGTGTGTGACCCTCCTTCCGTCTCCAGTCATGTTCTCACAGTGCCTGTTCCTTGACAGGCAAGTTAGAAAAACAGCTTACTTTGGATCTTCCCTTGGAGTCTGTAAAGCTGTTTCTATCCAAATTGTTTCTGCTTGGAAATGACTTTTTTCTTTGTGTTTTTTTTTTTCCTCTCCTTCTCGTTTATTTATTTTATTCATTTTACTTCCTTGTAGCGCCTCCCCTCTGACATTTTTCTTTAGTGTTGTTTTTAGACAGGGTTTCACTATATTACTCTAGCCACCCTCAGGTGCACTATCTAGACCAGGTTGGCCTCAAACCTCCAAAGATCCATCTGTTTCTGTTTCTCTAGTACTGGGATTAAAGGTGTGCACTACTCTGTCTAGCTATTAAATTATTTTTAGTTATACATGTGTGTGGCTGTGTGTGCTGTAGGGCAGGTGCCTATGGAGGATGAAGGTGTTGGATTCACCCTGGAGCTGGAGTTACAGCTTCTGGTGAGCTGCTCAGTGTGGGAGTCAAGCTTGAGTTCTCTGCAAATGATGCATGTGCTTTTAATGGCTGAGCCATCTTTCCAACCTTGTGTAATTGCATTTTAATCCCTTCCTCTTCTTAGCTGTTAGGCATAAATAAAATATAATTTATCACAGAAAAACAAAATTTTTTTTTAATCTTTGGAGCTGGGGGGTCATACACTGTGTTCCCAGCCTGGCTTCTACCACACGCATGACAGTCTTTACCTCTTACCTTTCCTTCTCTGATGCTGGGTGTCTGCACCCTGGGCTACGACCTTAGTCAGATTGGGCATCTCCCATTCAGCTCCTGAGGTTTTAGAGAGTTTACCTTGTTTTGCTTTTGTGGTTTTAAATCTCCCCCCTCCCCCGCCCCCACCCCGAGAGCCCTGACTGTCCTGGAACTCACTCTGTTGCCTAGGCTGGCCTCAAACTCATGGATCTTCCTGCCTCTGCCTCCCAGAGTGCTGAAATGACAGGCGTGCACCACCACACCCAGCTTCCTTTGTGATTTTGAGACAGAATCTCACTGTGTAACCCAGGCTGGCCTTGGACTCACTATGTTTTTCCTGCCTCAGCCTTCTGAGTGCTAAGATAACAGGCATGAGCCAGATGTCCAACACTTAGTGTCTTTGACAGGCAGTTTTTGACATCCCTTTCAGCTTTACTTTTCCTAGAAAGCAAAGCTTCCATTTAAAATCAGAATTATTTGTTGCTGGATGGAGGCTGGTAAAGATCACACACCATATATGAGAAAGAGTTCGTACTAGCTAATAGCTGCACTGCAGGGCAGTGAGTGTCCTGACCTAGTCAGCAGAGCTGTCCTGAATATCTGGCAGCTTTTCTTTGTCCTGTGTTCATGCCAGGAACAGTTAACTGTTTGCCTTTGAGTGGCCTGATGATTCTTAGTGAGTTCATGGTCTGAATTAGCTGATCGTGGTAATGGTTAACCCTGGGCAAACTGGCTTCTGTCCTTTATCCGAGTCTGTGCCATCACGCTGTAGAACTGCTGTGTGGCTACTTTCCAAGGAGATGTGCTTAGTGGCAGATCCCCATTTGGCATCACCGATTACTTCTTGGTGATTGCTAAGACCAGTGTTTTGGTTCCTAGGCAGACAAAACTAATCCTGTGAGTGCAAGTTATATAATGGTTGAATCTTAGAATTTGGTACTGGATTATCAGTGACCAGAAAGGAGGTTTGTTTGTGCTTGGTAGGAAAATCATTTCCTTGAGTCAGAGTAGATTAGTACTGGGAATTATGTTCCGCTGGGCGCTCCACAGCTACTCATTCCACAGCTCCACCTTCCTGTCCACAGACTGAGCGTGTTCTTTTTACCACAAAGAACCCAGAAGATGGATTTTGCTCTCATCTCTTGCCTTGCTTTTCAGTGCTACTTCTCCCTTTGAGTTTCTGACAAGTGCTGAAGTGTGATGAGTTGGGAAGAAGTCCTTTTAGCTTTGGGGAGGGATGGTTTTGCTGAAAGGTTCTAGAAGCTGGTATAATACTAGAGTGTTCTGTCTGTGGGGTGAGGCAATCAGACATGATGCACTGTGTGGCGGTGGGTATAATATGCTTACGGGATGTTACAACTGTATGTCACTCCTCCCTCTTCCCCCCCAGGTTTTGCAGACTTTGGGCACAGAAACCTACCGGCCTAGTTCAGCTTCACAGTGTGTGGCTGGCATTGCTTGTGCAGAGATCCCGGTGAACCAGTGGCCAGAACTCATTCCTCAGCTGGTAGCCAATGTCACAAACCCCAACAGCACAGAGCATATGAAAGAGTCCACATTGGAAGCTATTGGTTACATTTGCCAAGATATAGTAAGTACTTGCTTACTGTTTCTAATTTCTGTACTTTGGTTCTTTGAGCTATCACATGAGTGGTACTGATTCTTTGTCAGAAGATGGAAACACCAAGCTGCTATGGTGCTATAAAGATAGGACTACTCGGCTGGAGAGGTAATTCAGCAGTTAAGAGCATGGGCAGCTGTTCCAGAGGTCCTGAGTTCAATTCCCAGCACCCACATGGTGCCACACAACCACCTGTAATGGAATCTGAGACCCTCTTCTGTCTTACGTACAAATAGAGCACTCATACTTATATACTCACGTACGTACGTACATACATATATACATACATCTATCTGAATAAAAACATAAGTATGCTTACTTTGGACCTGTATTTTCAAATTGCTAATGCTCTGAAATGAGGAACTTGGAGGTCACAGACTCAGAATGGGGCTGAGTTGGAGTATAGCTAAGTTAGAGTGCCTCTCAACTGCTGGCTCAGTTCTTGGGTACCAGGAGTGTTGTGTTGCCTTTTTCTTTGTTGGGTTTGTTCAGCCACTGGGACCACACAAATCTTCGATGCAGCCCTCCTTGGACTGTTGCTGAGGTGTAGTCCATAACATTTGACCTGAGCTTAAACCTCCTTGGTTGTTATACTCAGGTCCTTGGCTGTTGTTGTAAGGCTTCATTTTGTTTGGCACAGGTGGGAAAGCCCAGCACACTACTGCCTCTCTGTGTATGCAGAATGGGGAGAAAAAGCAGAGATGGGGCAGTAATGAGTCTGATTTGTTTGGGGTCAGTTTTGTGCTGTTCCGGGGGTATTTTACTAGTGCTTTGCAGAACTGTCCCAAATGGAAATATATGAGAAAAGGTCAAAATCATGGACTCCTTTAAGTGGGTTTTATAACTTTAAAAGACTGTTGATCAGTATATTTCTCTGCTTGTTTTAGGACCCGGAGCAGCTACAGGATAAATCCAATGAGATCCTGACTGCCATAATACAGGGGATGAGGAAGGAAGAGCCTAGTAACAATGTGAAGCTGGCTGCTACCAATGCACTCCTGAACTCGCTGGAGTTCACCAAGGCAAACTTTGACAAAGAGGTTCGTTTTTCTGACGCATGATAACCTGTTTATAGGATGAAGAATGTATGACTTAAAACATTGGCTTTATTCTTTAAATTAGAAAGCTTTCATCTCCAGTCTAGTTGAGGTTTCTTGTGAGGTACCTCCATGAAGTATATGTTGATGAAATAGATTCGCCATGGTGACCATTTTTCAGTGTATGTCAGTTATTCAGTCTGCTACAGAGGCATTCTGTAGTGTTTCATCTGGCAAAACTGACTTCATACCTAGTGGCTAACTCCATTTCTCCAGGCTCCAGCTGCCAGCACTCACAATTCTACTTTCAGTTCCTGTGAACTTGATTATTCTAGGTACCTCATATAAATAAAAAAATGGAGTCAGACTTTATTTGAGCTTTTAAAGCTTTGAGTTCATTGTGAATGTGCGTGGCATGTGGGGTGTGGCACACAGTGTAGCAGTCAGAGGGCAGGCAACTTTAGAATTCGTTTTCCCTTTCCTCCTCCCTGTGGGTTTTAGGGGTTGAACCCTAGTCATCAGGCTTGCCATTAAGTGCCGTTATGCACTGAGCCATCTTACCATCTTACTTGACTTTCTGTATTAGGTTTGTTGGTGGTAGGGCCTGCTTTTTGTTTTATTTTTTACTTAGTATAGTATCTTTAAGACTTACCCATTCAAGGCTATTTTCTTTTCAAAGCTAGGTAATAATAATAATTCATATGTCTGTACTATATTTTGTATGTCAAACCACTTGTTTTGGGCTGCTTTCACCTGTTGGATAGTTTATTGTAATTTCTCTTGGTTTATTGTTTTATTTGAGATGGGGGTCTCACGAGTAGGCCTGTTTGGCCTGCAACTCAAGAGAGTCACCTGTCTCCTTAGTGCTTGATGTGCCACTGTCCCCAGCTTCAGAGCAAACTAATTTTAGTTGGTTCAGAAATCGAAGTTTCCTTTTAGATCACAAATTATTTAGGAAAGCTAACTGCAGTTCACTAGTTCTCCCTTTACCATGTTTGATGTGAATTTGTCAATTCACAGAAAACAAATTTTGTCTCTGAAATCAAATGTTGTGGATATTAAGACTTTGATTTTGAGTGACAGGGTCTTGCTCTGTAGCCCTGTGTTCACAATAGAACATGCTAGCCTCAAACTCAGAGATGACCCTGTCTTTGCCTCCAAGCATGTACCACCACTATGCCCTGCCAATCTTAAAATGTACATATAAGGAAAGTAGTTTTCCTACATTTTGGTTATTGGCTTTTTTTCTTTTCGCTAGCTGTTTAAACCTTGTGGCCTATGCCTTCTTGTCTCCTCTGATACCTTGTTTTGGTAAGGTCACCTTGGGTATTAAGAGATAAAAAGACCTCCTTAGAGGGGTCATAGTGAGGACACCACAGGCAAACTGCTTATAGCCCTGCTACCTTAGGGGAGGGTGCTAGACTGTTACAGGACTTGACAGGGTGACAGGTTTTCTCTGTAGCGTCTTAAAACCTTCCTACATGCAGTTAATGCATTCCTAATGCTCTTTACCTCTCTGCAGTCAGAACGGCACTTTATCATGCAAGTAGTCTGTGAAGCCACACAGTGTCCAGATACAAGGGTAAGTTAGTTGCTGTATGAAAATTATCTCTCCCTGCCTTCCTAGGAAAAGCTGACCCAGTTGGAAATTTAGGAAGTCAATGAATTGAACAAGGTTTGATTAATCTTATTAGTGAAAGTTTCTACAGCGTATGTGGAGACTACTACTTTCTTAAAGGCTTAAGAAGTTTTGCTCTCTTTTGCTGATTTAGTGCCATGAGTTGTTGCTGTGATTCTCTTCATTGTAGACATTGAAATGGTATTGCTATTGCTGTGACCTACACTTGACCCTGGAAGTTGGTGAAAGGACCATGTCGGTCTAGCCAGCCTCTCGTGGGTTTAACCCATCTGTGGGCTTTCCAGGCATTGGAACATGGTGGGGGCCAGACTGCAAACATAAGAGATACTGAAAATGGGGCGGACAGATTGATTTGGGTCAGATGACATTACTCAGGTACCTGTAGGCAGTAAATCTACCCCACAGACTTCTTATTCACATGGTAACCCTTTAACTTGTTCTTCAAAGGTACGAGTGGCTGCTTTACAGAATCTAGTGAAGATAATGTCATTGTATTACCAGTACATGGAGACATATATGGGTCCTGCCCTTTTTGCAGTAAGTATTTATGTAATTTGAACCTGTAGCTGGTGACAGGGTTCATTATTTTTAATTGCTGTTTTGTAATTATGTGGTTTTTGAAAACTTAATTTTATGAAGTCAAGAAAATTACTTGAGTATGGACAGTGTGAGACATTGTTTCACACTGTAGTTACAGTTGTTCTGGATTTCACTGTGTAGTCCAGGTGGCCTCAAACTCAGAAGTCCTGTTAAAGGCTGGCATTACCGGTGTGAGCCCTACCATGAATGGTAAATTTAAGCTTATGTGCCAAGAAGATATGTGCTATATTTGGTTGTTAAAAGATACCTGTGTGTGTGTTTCTTTTTCTTTCCTGAGACAGGGTCTTTTTATGTAAGCCTGGCTACAGTAGATCTTGCTCTGTAGATCAGGTTGGCCTAGAACTCAGCGGTCGCAAATCTACTCTTTTCTGCCTCCTGAATACGGAGTGCTGGGATTAATTTAATTAAAATAATTATGTTAAAGGCATGCATCCAGCTATAAAAGATATTTTAACTAATATTTTGCAAGTCGTTTGTTTCTTATATCTGGTTAAACTTACCATAAATTTTATTTTTTTCATCTTGACCTTTTGGTTAAAAGGTTGTCTGACTTGAGTTTGTGTCTTTTTTTTTTTTCCTTTAAGATCACAATTGAAGCGATGAAAAGTGACATTGATGAGGTAGCTCTTCAAGGGATAGAATTTTGGTCCAATGTCTGTGATGAAGAAATGGATTTGGCCATTGAGGCTTCAGAGGTGAGCCTGGGGTGAGCCTCTCTGAGAAGAACCGCTTTTTTGCCAAGACTTTACACATTTCCTTTGTGGTTCTCGTCTTCTGGGATCGCTTCTGTTCTGACCAGGCGGCTATCCTAGGGATATAATGTTTTTTCTGCTAGCCAGATCCCCACCGCTCATGGTTTTGCCAGTTGCAGGTAGTCATACCGATAATTCTGCTGTGAACACAAGGGGGCAGCAGGTTGTAAGCTTACAGAAGTGGCAGCTGATGCGGAATTTTTCCCTTTTGAAATCTTAATACAAGCCCAAGATGTAATTGACAACTAACTACCTCTGAAGAGTCAGATATGGGAAAGGATATCTTTGACTTAAACCTCAAGGCTGAAGCTTTCTTCCAGCAGTGCCAGTGTGTCCCAATACAGCCTCCCCCACACCTTGTCTTTATGTAACGTGTGTGCATTTTTTTGAGCCAGAAGAACACTGTATGTCAGGTTTGTTGTTTTTTTAATACACATTCCTGTGTGTGTAGAGACCAGAGAGCCTCAGGTACTATCTACCTTTCTTTTTGAGAAAAGGACTTGGAGCTTGCTGATAATGCTAGAAGCCAGTGAGACCAGGAACCCATCTGTGTCTGCACTGTATTTACTGCTAGGCTTATGTTATAAACCTGCAAACCACATCTGGTTGTTTTTGGTTTATTTTGTGTTTGAAATAGGGTCTCATCATTACAGCTCTAGTTGCCCTGGAACCTGGAACTCAAGATAACCCTGCCTCTGCCTCCCGAGTGCTGTAATTAAAGACATGCACCACAGTCTGCCAACACACAATTGTTACTGGTTTGTTGTTGTTTGTTTTTCTTGTGAGTTCTGGAGGTGGAATTCTAATCCTAAGTCAAGCATGTTACTGATCTAAGTTATCTTTCTAGTCCTAGATGTCAGGGGTTCTTTTGGTTTTTGGTTTTCATGTATCAAAGAACAACCCTGAATTGCTGATTATCTTTCCTCATCTCCCCAGTGCTGGTATTATAGGCATTCCTCCACCATGCCTGGTTTGTGCAGTGTTGGGGATTAAAGCAAGGGCTTTGCACATGCTGGATAAGCACTCTAGCTGCTGAGCTTCAGCCCCAGTGCAAGACTTGAATTCTAAAGGTTGACTTGGTCCTTGAATATACATGTATATAATGTATAGATTTGCATAATCTAAATCTCACTTAAGTTGATAAAAGTGTAAGCAGCATCTCCAAGCATCACAGCAGACATTACCATTAGCCTTCTGTGCCTGTTAGAGCTCTCACTGTGGGCCTGTCCCATTTATAACAACTATTTACTTTGTGTTTCTCCTCAGGCAGCAGAACAAGGACGGCCTCCCGAGCACACCAGCAAATTTTATGCCAAGGGAGCACTACAGTATCTGGTGCCCATCCTCACACAGACGCTAACTAAACAGGTAAGCCTCATGACTGGTTCCATCTGCAACAGTTTCCATGGAGGGCATTGGCAGCCATCTGATGTTGTGTTGTAGATGACTCGGGAGTACTTGAAATGAAACACTGAGTTGTATGTGAGGAGGGCTAGCCTGAGTGGCTTAGAAGCCTTGGTTGTGAACAGACCTCACACTGCTCTGGTTTTTCAGAGTGCTACAGCACACTACTAGGGCATGTATTGTGTATAAGTTGTAAGAAAGACATTGTCGGCAGTGGTACGGCTCAATAGTAGTAGGGAGCTTGCCTGACGTGTGTGTGTCTGTGTGTGTCTGTGTGTCTGTCCGTCTTACTTTCTTTTTTGGTTTTTTCAAGACAGGGTTTCTCTGTGTACCTGGCTGTCCTAAATTCACTTTGTAGACCAAGTTGACCTCCAACTCACACTGATCCGCCTGCCTCTACCTCCTGAGTGCTGGTATTAAAGGTGTGCACCACCATGCCTGGCTTGGGGATAAAGTTGGACACAAGTCATTCACACCTTAATAAAGGACTTTAATCCATGAACTAGGGACTGGGAATTTTAGTTCAGTTGATAGAGTGCTGCCCACCATGTATTAGGTCTGGATTAGGTCTTCACCACATAAAACCAGGTGTTGCTCTGTTGTGTCTTTGATCCCAACACTCAGGAGGAGGAGCCAGGAGGATCAAAAATTCAAGGACATCCTTGGCTATATAGTGAATTTGAAGCTTCATGAGATCCTCTGTAAAACCAACACTTGAACGAAATCCACAGTCTTTAACATCAGTTATAGTCGAGGGATAAGTGTGCTCTGTTCTTGGCAAGGACCCACTGTGACTCCAGCTCCAAGAAGACAGACCTAATGCTTCTGGCCTTCACGTACAAGTGCATTTACATGTACACACGCACATACTTATATATCTTTGTTTTGTTTGTTTTTTTGAGATAGAATTTCTCTGTGTAGTCTTGGCTGTCCTGGAACTTGCTCTGTAGACTAGACTGGCCTCTAACTCTATCCTGCAATTAAAGGTGTGCACCAGCCAGGCGTGGGGTTGCACCTATAGTCCCTCAAGGCAAACCTCTTGAGTGGCCAGCCTGGTCTACACAGAGAAACCCTGTCTTAAAAAAAAAAATGAACTGTGTGTGTGAACCACAAGTTTCTGTTTAAAAACAATAAATTTTAAAGGTTTGTTACATATCAAAATCAAAGGTGTCAGGAAGATCTAAGGGACTTGTGTAGCCATGGCTGTCCTGGTACTCCACCCTGAGTTGAAGTCTGGCCTTTAACTCAGATCCGCCTGCCTACCTCTGCTTCCCGAGTGGAGGCACAATGTGTCAATTTTCCCACTGTTCTTTGTGCTCTGTATTTCTTGGTATAGTGTATGTGAAATATTGCTAAGGATCTGGCAGTGTCCTGAGGGAATACTGCTTGGGACTCTGAGCACTAGAAATACTTTGTAGGAATATAAGTGTTTTCAGGGATGTACATGTTTCTCTCCACATAGCAGTCTCAGGTGTAAGTTAGGGATATGTTTGATTTGACAACTTTAATGTTTTTTTTAAGTGTGTGTGTCTCCTCTGTGTGTCTGTGTACCGCTTGTGTGTCTTTTACTCTTGGGATGTTATGTTTTATCTTATTCCCTGAACATTAAGCTCTAATGATGCTTGGGAATAGATAGCCTTTTGAGTAAATTCATGGAACAAAAACTTACCCAGTGCTGCATTGCTTCACCAGGATGAAAACGATGACGACGATGACTGGAACCCTTGCAAAGCAGCTGGGGTGTGCCTCATGCTTCTGTCCACCTGCTGTGAGGATGACATTGTGCCGCATGTCCTTCCCTTTATTAAAGAGCACATCAAGAACCCTGACTGGCGGTACCGGGATGCAGCAGTGATGGCTTTTGGCAGTATCTTGGAAGGACCAGAGCCTAATCAGCTCAAACCATTAGTGATACAGGTAAAACCCGAGGAGTATTAGAGTTGAAGTAGGGTGAAAGTGCATGCGTGTGTGTTTATGTGTATGTGTATGTAACTGACAAAGGTTATTTTCGCACAATTGAATGTTAGCTAGCAGAGACCTAAAACCCATAACCTACATTCTCATGGTGACAGGCAGGTCAGTAGTCTAAGGCTGTAACTGGATAGTGCTGAGACCATTCTGTGCTATGTGGTACCTTTCAGTAGAGTTACTCATTGTTAAGGGTAAAATATATTTAACTTTTTAAAATTAAGCCATGACTCAGAAACTTGAAAAAATAAAGAAAAGGCCAAGAAAAAAGTCAGCTTTAATATATTCTTAACCAAGAATGCTCTTAACTCAACACATCTTTGCTTTCTGTGCTGTTTGGACAACAGGATGGAATTCTTACTGTGAAGTCTTACAGCTTGCTTTTTTTTTTTTTTTTTTTTAATGCCACATTGTAAGTATTTTCCTCTTAATTTTTGAAGTAGGCAGTCTCAACCTATATCTCAGGGTGGCCTTGAACTGGTGGCTCCTGCCTCAGCCTGTGAGTGCTGTAGTTATATATAAGTTATAAGTATAAGCTGCCATACCCAGCTGGCTCCAGACTCCAGGCCTCGTCTCCATGCTCCATTGAGCCTTTCAAGTGAATGAGATTACAGTTTCCAGTACTATCCATTTACCTTGTGGTTTTTGTTCTTGAGTGTTTTTGTTGTTGTTTTTAGGGTCTTGGTATGTCTGGCTGGCCTCAAATTAGTTATCTACCTGAGACTGGTCTTGAACTCCAGATCTCCCTGTCTCCATTTCCCAAGTGTTGGGTATATAGGCTCACCCACATTTCCCATAAGCTTTTGTGATAGTATTTGGACAGTGTTGACATTTATATAATGAAATATGCTTACTTTGCTGGTGTCAGTGGTAGAATTCATCATAGTTTAACTTTGCATAAAGAAATGAGTCTTAATCCAGATATGGTGGTGCATGCCTTTAATCCCAGCAGAGGCAGGCAGATCAATGTGAGTTCAAATAGAATCTGTATTGGGATTTGGTGGAGGATTAAGAATTTTTATACTTTCTTTTGTCTGCTGGTCATATATTTTAAGTTAAAATCCTTCCATTATTATATGGGGGCAGGGGTTGTTAATTTTAGATGGGATGGTGTCTTTGTAGCCAAGGATGGTCTTGAATGTAGACCCTCCTGTCTTCATCTTCCAAATACTGAAATTATAGGCATAGGCCACAATGCCCATGAATATTTCTTTTGAATAGTAGTCTGCGTTAATTAATTTGAATTTGTTTTGCCTTATTGCATTTTCAGGCTATGCCCACTCTAATAGAACTAATGAAAGACCCCAGTGTAGTTGTTCGAGACACAACAGCATGGACTGTGGGCAGGATCTGCGAGCTGCTCCCTGAAGCTGCCATCAATGATGTGTACTTGGCACCCCTGCTGCAGTGTCTGATTGAGGGCCTCAGTGCTGAACCCAGAGTGGCTTCAAATGTGTGCTGGGTAAGAGATTTTCTTCCTGGTGAAGACAGGAGCTTGTCCTGAGCCATTGGGAAGAGAGGAGGTGTGGGAGAGAAAGGTACCTACCTCATTGGAAGACTTGCTCTGAATTCCGTCTCTGTTTTCAGTTAAAATGTGGGGGAGTGTCAGCTGCAGAAGCCAGTGGGAACTGTTGGCTTACCTTGGTGGGTCCCAGAGCACTTACAGCAGTCATGCAGCAGAGAGACTGTCTAGATTAGACAAGTTTTGGTTAAAATGGAGTTTCTTACTGTAACAAATTGGGGCAAAGAGATGAAAGCAAAAGGAGGGAGGCAGTGTTTGTGCTGGGTTTCTGTGGGCTCTTTAGTTTTACTGTGGGCCTAGTGTGGGAAAGGAGTGAGGTTAAAATCCTGTTTGTTTGTTTGTTTGTTTAGGTGGGGCATGGCTGTCTTTTGAGATAGTGTTTCTCCCTGTAGACCATGCTGTCCTCAACTGAGGACACTACCCAATTAAAATCCTTTCTTAAGGGTGGAAAGAAGGGAAGTGATGTGACTTGGTGAAAGAATTCTTCTTAGGGAGTTGGACACATTACTAGGCAGTCTATAAAGACTTAGAATTTCTTTCGAAAATTGTTTTAGATTATTGTTTTTTCTGTGTCTGAGTGTTTTGTCTGTGCATTTATTTGTACCTGTGTGAGCCTGGTGCCTGCAGGGGTCAAAAAAGCATGAGATTCCCTGGAACTGGAATTAATGGATAGTGTAAACACCTCATTGGTGCTGGGAACTGCACCTGGATCCTTTGCAGGATAGCAAGTGCTCGCCTATACTTACATGCTCATTATCATTTTTTTAAAATTATGAGTGTGTGCTATGTGCACATGTATTACAAGTTTAGTTACACAGCTACTTCCATATAGAAGTTTAATAATCAAATACATGACGAGTTTAGTATATTCCGAGGCATGGAATTGAACGATTTTCCTGGCAGACAGCATTACGAGTTGTCACAGCATGTGTTGAGGTGCGTGGGTCCATGTGTACTTTATAGAGAGAGAGTATCAGGTTCCCTGAAGCTGGAGTTACAACCTCATATGGGTTCTGAGAAATGAACTTTTCTTGATGACCTTGATGGGAAAATATTAGGTAGCGCTTGTGTAGCCCTGGCTATCCTAGAACCAGCTCTGTAGACCAGGCTGGCCTCAAACTCAAAACTCTGCCTGCCTCTGCCTCCTGGGCGATGGGATTAAAGGTGTATGCGATCACGTCCTGGCTCTTAAAATTATCTAAGGGTAAGGATGAGGGAATCCTGTGGGGTTCTCTCTAAGGACTCATTTCTCTCCTTTCCAGGCTTTCTCCAGTCTGGCTGAAGCTGCTTATGAAGCCGCAGATATAGCTGAGGATCAAGAAGAGCCAGCCACCTATTGTTTGTCTTCTTCCTTTGAACTCATAGTTCAGAAGTTGCTGGAGACCACAGACAGGTAACTAACTGATAATCCTGAGAAGCCAGTGAAAGCACATCTGACTCCTGGTTAGAGGTTAAAACAGTGGGACATGACAGTGCAGAGCCCTCAGGAGAAATGAAAAGTATCCTATCTGTAGTAGATTAATACAGACTCCTTCTTCCTGAGATTACAGTTGCTTTTGCATCTGGAGAGACTGAGGCAGGAGGATCTCAAGTTCAAAGTCAACTGAGGCAATACAAGATACTCTTTCTCAAAAAACCTACACAAATTAAAAATCTGTTTTTACCAAGTAGTTATAACAGAGCTGTCCTGGAGTAGTGGCTCATTTGAGGCTTTTTAATTACCATACCAAGTCAATCACTGTCATTTGTGTGTTTTGTTTGGCTGTTGTAGCAACTTTAATTATCAGCATTTGGTCAGTTCTACCTCACGCCACTGTTTGCCCTTAAATTTTAGCCTGCTCTCCCCAGAACAACCTTCAAGTTTTTTGTTACTATTTGAGAGAGATTAGGCATGTATGCTGTGTTACAGATGTGAGTGGAGGCAGTCAGCTTTGGGGAGTTTATTCTATTCTGTCACCTTTAGGTCATCAGGCTTCAACAGCAACTACTTTTTACTCACTGAGCCTTCTGCTAGCTCCCACTATAAATACAGCCAAGTCTAAAGACCATGAGCATAGTGGTGACTCAACAGACTGGTTGATGTTCTGTTTTGGCTTTTTTGGTTGTTTTGTTTCTGTATTTTGAGACTAGGCTGGCCTTAAAGAGTTTAAAGGTGTACATCACCACATCCAGCTGCTGTCATATCATTTCTGGCTCCAGTTTTAAAGTACTAGAGGTTGAACTACATCCTCAACCTCGGATTTCGTTTTGTGGGGAAACATTGTGTGCTTTACTAAATCCCCTGCCTTTCTCAGTTGAGGCAATAAAGTATATGCTGTCCTTTCAGACCAGATGGACACCAGAACAACCTGAGAAGTTCTGCATATGAATCTCTAATGGAAATTGTAAAAAACAGTGCCAAGGATTGTTACCCTGCAGTGCAGAAAACCACCCTGGTCATTATGGAGCGACTGCAGCAAGTGCTTCAGATGGAGGTGAGTCGTGGAGCCTTCTGTCCTGGGCCAGGTGGCAGAGCTTCTGAATGACACAAGCATTTCAGCCTTGGACATGACCTAAGGTTCAGTTACTAGCACCCAAAACCAAAAAGCTCACATCTTACTGTCTGCTCTCTGGTCGTGCTGCGAAGGCTTAGCTGATGGTCCTGGAAATTGCGGCAAGTGGAATGTTTTCATTGGAACACTGTTTCTTCTTTTCCTTCAGTCCCATATCCAGAGCACATCCGATAGAATCCAATTTAATGACCTCCAGTCTCTACTCTGCGCAACTCTTCAGGTATGACAGTGCCGATGCTCTCTTCCTCGTTCTCTTTTTATGTGTATGGGTGTTTTTTGCCTGTATGTCTGTGTACCATGTGCCTGAAGTACCTAAGAAGGCCAGAAAACTTCATACTTGAGTTATAGTGACAGTGGTTGTAAGCTGTCATATGAGTGCTTGGAATCTAAGCCAGATCCTCTGGAAGAGCAGGCAATACTATTAACAACTGAGCGTTCTCTGGAATCCCTAACTTCCTCATTCACTATTGTGACAGATTCATGGGTGCACAGCTTTGAAGTAGTGATAGTTCTGACCAGGAGCTGCTCTCATCTGTGACTGAAGAGGAGTTTCTCACCTTTCTTCTGTGTTTATCATGAAAGTTCTAGTTTATCTTTTGTGGAGATGGAAATGCCTCAGAATAATGGTCCCTCCCAGCTGTTGGCAGCTTTTACCTTTGGTTTTTGTCCAGACCTAGCTGGGTCAGATATGGCTCATTTAGTTAGAAGTATGGCCCTAGGGGGAGGCTTTTGTACCTTAGGGCGAACACTGGCATATGCAGGGCCCTAGGCTCAATCCCTGCATAGACTAAAAGGCTTAATAGGTCTTTAAAAGGCCATCATCTTTTGAAACATTAACTGATGTGTCGTTTATTGTGCTTTTTATTCAGAACAGTCTTTTTCAAATAGTGACTGGGAAAACTGAAATAAAATGTCATCATCTGCTTATTCCTTTTCTATCAGAGAACAAAAGAATTCTGGGGCTTCTATGAAACATAATGTAGATACTGGATTTTAGTATTCAGTAGCACTTGGTTGTCTTCCTTGTGGACTCCCTTTCTTTCTTGTCAGATGTTGTATTTTAAGGCATTCTGGTAGAACTCTCTCAACAGACTAAACACTGGAATGATCCCGTGATGTTAAATGGAGCAAGCACAGAGAACAGTTTGAGGAGAGTCTATGGGAGTGTAACAAGTTGGGTTGGTCATTTTATCAGGACTTAGTCCTTCCTGACTATTGTCTCAAAACTTAAGGCTGTATAGGCTTTTTGTTTGTGTAAGAATGCCCAGGATGACATAATTTTTGTAAGTTAAAATAATGTGTTGCTCTAGCAGGACTTGAGGTGTAGAGGGTCCTAGTGGTTGTCAGACAGAGATGGTGCTTTGCTGCATAGGATTTATTTGTTTGTTTGTTTTAAAGTTATTTGATTTCAGATAATTTTGCTGTGTAAAAGTTCTTAAGAAAAATGATACTTGGCTTTTGCAAAAAAAAAAAAAAACAAAAACAAAAACCTACTTTTTTACAGAAAAGGCTAAATGTTCTAAGTTGAGGATTTGAAATTAACAGATCTGAATTCTTGTTCATTTCACAGAATGTTCTCCGGAAAGTGCAGCATCAAGATGCTTTGCAGATCTCTGATGTGGTCATGGCCTCCCTGTTAAGGATGTTCCAAAGCACAGCTGGATCTGGGGGAGTGCAAGAAGATGCCCTGATGGCAGTTAGCACACTGGTGGAAGGTCAGTAAGAACCGAAAGACAGGACTGTGTCTTAGAGTGTAGGAAAGAGGGTGACAGTAGACTGACAGTAAACTGTATCACTGCCCCCCTGCCAACCTCCTTAAGGTAATAGCCGGCACCTGTGTCAGATCGGCAGCCTCCTGGGGCAGTTAGTACCCATTAAAGGGTTTGACAGGTTCCTTCTTCCCTTGAACACCAACTAGGTTTATTAAGGTTTTGTTTTGCTTAGGGCAGAGGAAACAGAACGATTCTGGTTCCATGTCTGACCGACTACAAAATTGCTTTGGAGAATAATCTTCAGATTTATTTGTGTTAATGCTTTTCTTGTTTTGTTTTGTTTTTTTCAAGAAAGTGTTTCTCTGTGTGGCCTTGGCTTTCCTGGACTCACTTTGTAGAACAGGCTGGCCTCGAACTTACAGAGATCCACCTACTTCTGACTCCCTAAGTGCTGGGATTTTAGGTGTGCACCACTGATCCCAGCTTCAGGCTTTTTTTTAAGAGTATTTGAAACCTATTACAAGAGCATGTTGGAACTCTGGAATGCTTCATCAGGAAGCATCACTTCTCTTTAAGTATATTGCACAGCCATTATTTATGGACCACTGTTCTGAGGACCAGCTCTATTTCTGGAATAAAGAGCCACAACCAGGGGTAATGGTACATGCCTGTAGTCATACACTCTAGAGGCAGTCAAGAGAATCGGTAGTTTGATACCAGCATATGATATATAGTGAGTCTCCTCTGAGTCAAGGGGAAAAGAACAAAGGGATCCTATGGGTGTAGTTCAGGTGGGAACTTACAGGTAGTGGTGACAAGCTCAAGATTATCCTCTGCCATGCGAGGCTACATAGTAAATTCAAGGCCACAAAATGGGGGCCCCGCACCTATTTACATGCATGTAAACACTTAAAGCTGTTTAAATAGTTATTTAAATAATGAAGTAAATTAAAATGGAATGAAATGGAAACTACTAGAATTATGGGGATAGAGGTTGAATGAAGCCCACTCTAGACGCTGTGGTCTACAGCTCGTCTCTGCTTTTTCTCCCATCCTTTGAACTGAGGATTAAACCTAGGGCCTTGCCTGTGTTAGGAAAGTGCTCCATCATTGAACTACACCCCTACGTTTCTGCTGTTTCCCTGGCTATGGCTTGTTGAGTCCTTGCTGTGGTTGAGAAGACCTTGTTTTAAAGCTGGCTTCTGATGGAGGAGGGGACATGAAACAGGATTGCAGACTCTGTCAGTTAAGAATTATTCTTTCCCCAGGTCCATGCTGCTTTGTTAATTTAGCTACAGTGAAATCTCTGAGGAGCATTGGTATTTTCTCCAAGGCATATGAATTTGGCCTTTCCAGCAGTTACAAAACTTGGCTAACATGGGACAGTTTGAATGTCTTTATGATGGAATTAGTAGTCAACACATACTCTGCTTAACCTGTTGGGTAGTGAATATGTTTTGGGTTCTTAGACCCACATTGTGTCCTGTGTTGCTGTGATTAGCTAATAGTCTGTTTCATTAACAGTGTTGGGTGGGGAGTTCCTCAAGTACATGGAGGCCTTTAAACCATTCCTGGGCATTGGATTGAAAAATTATGCTGAGTACCAGGTAGGATATGCTCTTCAAAATAGTATCTTTGGTTTTTGTTTGTTTTCAAATTGCTGAGAATTAGACTTGGAGCCTGGAACCTGCTAATACTAGGGAAATGCTTGAACACTGACTGAACTCCCATCGCAGCCCTCAAAATCATATACTGTCATTAATGAAGAGTAGAGTACTGCAGACAAAATCAGGTTTCCGAAGCCAAGTGGTTTCCCCTTTTGCATTATTTGTAGCCTTAGCGCCTGCACTGGAGATAGTCTGTGAACGCAGGGCATCACATGTGCCGGATAGAGATCACAAGATGCCAGTACGGTCCTAATCAAAGTGCAGCTGCCAAGTTATGTGATCACTGCCCTTAAAGAGCAGCACTGCTTCCATGTACTGCCGCTGTCCCTTCCTGTGGTCCTCAGACAGCTCTAATTCTCTAGCTGAATCTGGTTAAAGCTCCACAGGAAAAGGATGTTTTCTTCTTTGGTTCTGGTTCACGTGGTGAGGGACCATTGACTAGGTAAAAACAATGCTATACCCTGCTGGAAGCCTCTTCTGTTCGGCAACTCGCGTCCTTGGTTCTTTGCAGGTGTGTTTGGCAGCTGTTGGCTTAGTTGGAGACTTGTGCCGAGCCCTGCAGTCTAACATCTTACCTTTCTGTGATGAGGTGATGCAGCTGCTCCTGGAGAACTTGGGGGTGAGCACTTCTCAGCCTGATTAACTAGTCTTTGAAGAAGTTACTGGTTGGAAAGAAATTTAAACCTCAAGGTCCAAGGTTCCTAGAACACTGTGGGCTTGTGAAGAATACAACTGTTTATTTTCATAGGCAGATCTAAAGTTGCAAAGTTAATTAAAGGAATGTGTGTTCTACTTGGAGGAAATGGTAAAGTGAATACATAAGTTCTCTTTCTAGCAGTTTTTTTTTTTTTTTTAAGATTTATTTATTATGTTATACAGTGTTCTGTCTGCATGTAGGCCAGCACGCTAGAAAAGGGCACCAAATCTCATTACAAATGGTTGTGAGCCATCATGTGGTTGCTAGGAATTGAACTTGGGACCTTTGGAAGAGCAGCCAGTGCTCTTAACCTCTGAGCCATCTCTCCAGCACCCAGCAGTTATTCTTAAGTGTTTTGAATTTCTTGGATCTTCAAACCAGACAAGATTTGGTGTTTATAAATTTTCTTTTTCTTTTTTCCTTGCTAGAATGAGAATGTTCACAGGTCTGTGAAGCCACAGATTCTGTCTGTGTTTGGTGATATTGCTCTTGCCATTGGTGGAGAGTTTAAAAAATACCTAGAGGTCGTATTGAATACTCTGCAGCAGGCCTCCCAAGCCCAGGTGGACAAGGTAAGCTTGGAACTGTCCTGATGGTTCTTCTAAGTACAGCTCTAATAAGAGTAGGACTGTTTATGGGTGTGCTTTTGTAAGCTGGCTAATGTGATGGAGGTTTTATTCTTTGTCTCTTCCAGTCAGACTTTGACATGGTGGATTACCTGAATGAGCTAAGAGAAAGCTGCTTGGAAGCTTACACGGGAATCGTCCAGGGATTGAAGGGAGATCAGGAAAACGTACACCGTTGAGTATATAGCCCATCTCCTGAAATCCTCTGACCAGGGTACAGGGGGTAGATGAGCTGCATCTTACCTTTGTAGCTCACTGGTGAACCAGCACCTGCTACATATAGGAAGGAAGAAAAGACCCGTGGTGCCCTAATGAAAAGTGGTTTGGGGGAGGCAGGATACAGACCCTGGTATTTCTGCACCTTCTACTTTCCTGTGCTTTTTTTCTTGGGGGGTGAGGTGTGATGCAGGAGGGTTAGACCCAGGGTTACATGGCATGGTAGAAAAAGCTCTACCACTGCGTCACACCTTTGTCTTTGTGTGGGATCTAATGAGGCCTTTGGGGAAAGTGCAGAGGTGGACTCTCTACTGAGTACAGCCAGCAGCCGGAGCAGAAGGTGCTGGGCAGCTCAGCCCACAGTGGAGGGTGTTCATTCTGTGCTCTACTTGTGGGATGCAACTCAGTGGTGTGTGGAGCATTTCCCCACCACTGAGTAGGGCCTGGATCTGTTCTACTTTCAATAGCACAGAAACATTCCATGTTCCACATGATTATAGAAGGGATATTTATCTCCTCTGGATTTGAAGGATACCCTTCTAGTGATTTTTGCTCTCGTGCTGTTTAGCTGGTTATCCAGCTGGAGCATTGCCATTGGGGTAGAATAACAGGGACATATTGAAAAGATGCTGATTCCTGTCCAGCATGGGACAGTTTAATCAGACCTCCTCTTTCCTTTATAGCGGATGTAATGCTGGTACAGCCCAGAGTAGAATTTATTTTGTCTTTTATTGATCACATTGCTGGAGACGAGGATCACACAGATGGAGTCGTAGCCTGTGCTGCTGGACTGATAGGGTAAGTTACTTCTTCCACAGAACAGACCTGTGTAGGAATATCTTAAGCTCAAACAGTATAGTCAGTCTACTTCCTTGACACAGTGCTGGAAATTAAAAACCGTGGCCTTACATTATAGCCCTCTCTCAGGAAGCTGCATCGCAGACTCTAGAACACTTAATTTCTTGCTGCTAACTGCAGAACATTGCTTTATTTATCTTGTGTGCATATGTGTGTGGAGATCAGAGGATAGCTTGAGGGATTCAGTTCTCTCCTCAACCATGTGGGTCCTGGGGATTTGATGGCAGACAGCTTTACCTAACACTGAGCCTACCTCACAGCCTCTTTTGAGACCCTATGGTAGAACATAGTTTCACAGCTCAAAGACCTCGTTATACTCTTTTACTTTGAGAAGGTCTTGCTATGTGGATGGTGTTGACATTGAACTCATAATCCTTGTCAGCTTCTTCCTTGGTTAGTGAGTGATACATTACAGGGTTTTCACACCCAATTAGCTATTAACTTTGGGCAAGTCCTTCATCTTCTGGAAGTCCCTTAAAATTTTTAAAAACTGAATGTATACTAAGAAACCCACAGTTGCCTCAGCCTTGTTTGGCAGCAGCAACCATGATACTAGTGTGGCCGGGTAGTTACTCTTGGGTATGTTTGTTTTGCACAGAGACTTGTGTACAGCATTTGGGAAGGATGTACTGAAATTAGTAGAAGCTAGGCCAATGATCCATGAACTATTAACTGAAGGACGGAGATCGAAGACTAACAAAGCAAAGACCCTTGCTACGTGGGCAACAAAGGAACTGAGGAAACTGAAGAACCAAGCTTGGTAAGATCTTGTCTTTTCTCCCTCAGCTCTCGTGAAGGTTCATTTTCTATAGGATTTCTGGTAATTGCTGCCTACTGGTATCTGTACTTTACTGTCCTTTCTTCTGAGCAGGTGACCTTAACCTTAGTCTTTTCTAAGCCAAGCATACAGGTCCTTGTGGTGAAGGACTACAGAACTCATTGACCAAAATACTGAAAATATTTTGGAACATAATAAATTTTTCCCATATTTTTTTCTGCTTCTGTTCCCTTCTTCCTGTCTTTTTGTTTGTGCTGGGAATCAAATCTTTCACAGGGGTTTGAGGTCTCTGTGTAGCGTGGCTAGCCTTGCTTTGTAAACCAGGCTAGCTTCAAACTCACAGAGATCCACCTGCCTGCTTCCCAGGTGGTTGGGTTAAAGGCATGTGCCACCATATATGGCCTTGAGTATACATTTATTTGCTTGGATTGCTGGGAACTGAACCCGAGTCTTCATGTTTGCAAGTAAGCATTTTTACTACTGAGCTACAAGAGATGCTTACTTGTATCTCTTGTAGCTCAGTAGTAAGTAGTAAGTAGTAAGGAGCAGGTAAGTGGCACAAAGGAATACAGGAAATTTAATTTCCAGTAGTTGAGAGTTGGCAAATCCTATTTGAGAGTTGGCAAATCCCATTCTAATTTAGGGGCACTTGGTTGTAGGAGTTGGGGGTGGATGTAAGCTCAGGATTGACCTCTTCATCCGTTTGTTTTTAGATCTGGTACCATTGGGATGATGACCTGAGACCCCCACTGGAAATCTCCAATCTTTTGAAAAAACCCGGAAGTGAGGAGTGTGCACGGATGCTGAATGTTTGGGAATGAGAGGATGAGTGAGTGAGGCTTAAACACACCACATTGAAAATCCTGCCACAGCCGACAACAGCAGCGCTGTTAGTGAGCTAAGTAAGCACTGACTTTGTAGAAAAACATAACATCAGCCATCTTGGAACAGAGAAACAATGGATTTACTTACTTATTAAAAACAAAAAACGCTGTCTCTTCCCGGGGAAGGCTAGAAGTAGCCTTCCTGTTTTGGCCGGTGCCGAATGGGATGACTGGTTTGGGAGAGGAGGACCTGGGTTTAGCTGTGGGGCTGTGTTGTGAAAGGCAGCCAGGTCCCTGCTACTGAGGAGAAAGATGGAGCCCGGGTCTTGAGCCCACCTTCACGGTACCATTGCATTTGGTACTGTCTATGTGCCGGTTAGAAGGCGCGTGGGGGATTTCAGTCTGCGAATGAGTGTGTGTGAGTGAGGCGGTACCCACATTCTCAACTTCAAGTCATTGCAGTTTCTTTTTCCCAGAAAACAAAGGGGTTGATGTTGCATTTCATAAACTAACTGATGTTCTGGCTACTGATGCAGCACAAGAGATGTGTTTAACAAAAAAAATGAGGAAAGACGCTCTTTAGGTTTGGTTTGGTTTCATTTTTAATTATTCTAGGGAAAACACTGACGAATGGTCAGAGCTCCTGTCCTGATCTTTTCATCAAGGCGCCTTTCCTGATGATATGGTTCCGCTGTGAATGTAGCTGTGGGGGGAGGGGGGAGAAAAAGAAAACTCTGGAGTTAGAGGATATAGAAAAATAAAAGTACAGTTGTTACAGACACAATGCAGACTTCAAAGACAGAAAAAGCCACAACTCAAACCAAAATTTTTAAATGCTTGAAAATTGGCATCACAAACAAGCTTTCTCCCGACTTATATTGTGGCAGTCTGAATGCCCCAGAAAACTGTGCCAAAGAGTTTAGAAAACAAATGTACAATAAAAGTAAATACGCACTCAAAACCGCAAACTTGAGGTAACTATTTTGAATTGCAAATGACAAAAATTTAATGTTGGACGATCTGATAAAATAACCGTTTGGAAACTGCTTGGCCTTCTGTTCTTTTCTCTGATTGACTGCAATGCGGTGTTGGTCTCTTGCTGCACTTCAAAACCAACTAACCAGTAAGACAGTGTGTGTGTATCCGTATACACACACACTAACTACAACTGTTGTGATAAGAATGGCACTAGGAAAAAGGTTCTATTTTTCCATTGAAGTTGAAGATTAATAAAATGGTGTCAAACATTCCCCTGCTCACACGCTTTAGTTTTTTTTTTAAAGTGTGATATGCTGTGATTACAATAAATCAGAATTATTTTCCCTTTTACAAGGGAACAAGCCACCATGAATTTTAGAGTCTTTCAGCAATAAGAAAGCATTTCAGTTAGCTGGCCCTCTTGGCTTGTTCAGACATTAGGAAATTTGCTGGCGTTTTGAATATGCTGCTTTAAAGAAATAGACGCCAAGGAAGTTTTCATTGCTTCCTGGTAGTTGAAAGATTTAAAACACAAGATCCTCATTCCCCCTCTTCCATTTTCATTGTAGTAAAAGGTATTGGCTTAGGTTTTCTCCCATGCTCCTTTCATCTCCCCTCCCTGTCTAAGCCTGTTCCTAAGTGGGACTGGCTCCTTTTGCCTGTCCATACACAGCGTCTGTAGTAGCTCTTTACAGGGTATCAGATATTGTGCCTTTTGGTGCCAGGTTCAGAATCAAAGTGCCGATCTGTGAACCAGTGTACAAAAAAAAAGTATTTGAAGGAGAGATGCTCCATCATGAGCAGACCAGTCACTAGGATTCCAAGCCCTAGTGAGGAGAGGCCCAGGCCTCTGAGCGCTTTGTTTCCATCTTAGCTGCCACCCCCACCCTGATTTACTAGCCATTCCTGATTCTAGATAGGATTGGGGCAGGGCTTAGGGAGGGGGCAGAAATATTGGGGGAAAGGAGAAAACGATCTGATCATTCCTCAGTGCTACCCATTTCTGTCCTGTGTGGGCTGCTTAGTGAGACAGCAGGGGAATAAAGTACACCGAGAACCGTGATGAAAACAAAACCTTCCGTGTGTGTGTGTTGTCATGTTTTGTTCCAGGGAAGCGGTTGACAAGTGCTGTTACTAATGCTTTCTCCCGGATGCAGTCAGTGCCGGGGAGGAGGGAATGGGCTGGTTCGATTGTGGTCCTGGTGCCTTGGTATTCTATTCTGCACTGGTTATACATTTTAATCCTGTTTTGGTTACCTTCAGCTACTGTTCTGCGGTTTGGGTGTTTGTCCTTAATCAGTTGGTACCACTTTAGGCAACTGAATGCGAAACACATTCTGTCCACTCACTGTCTGGGCTTTCCCCACCCTGACTCTTGGCACATTCCTTCAAGAATGTAGTTACGTCTGCTTGGGAAGATGTCAGAGCAAATGTGAAGAAAATGGGCATCGGACTAGACTTGGGTTTGCCACGAGTGGCAGCTGCCTGCACCAATTACATTGGTTAAATTTGCTTTTTTTTTTTTTTTTTTTTTTTCAGTTCCCCCCAGTCCTCTCTCTCTCTCTGTTGAAATGTTTTAGCTGTCAAAGGCAACTGTAATCCTGCCCTAGGGTCTGGAGATGTGGAGGGACTTGCTCAGTATGGTGTTCAGAACCAAGCAGTCTCCTTGCTCTCACTATTAAGATGTGTGTAGTTTGACTTTAGAAGAAGTCCAAATTCCATCAGCTTTGATAGCATCAGTCTGTAATTGGCATTCAGAATGCCGTTGGCATGCCAGTCTGTGATGGCATTAAAGACCTGTTAAAACACTTGAGCCCAATTTTATTAACCAAAACTGATACCACCACCTTTATCTTCTGAATAAAGTCCGCTTTATTTTTATTTTCAACATTTTGCTGCTTCATTCTTTGTATCAGATGTTGTCACTGCTATAGCAGTGAAGTGAATGTTTTGAAAGAAGCTGGAGAGTGTGTGTTGTGTTTTGCCCTTTCAGGCAAAAACAAAGGTAGGTTCTCTGCAGGAGGCCTGTTGCTGGGAGACTGGAAATGGTGAGGTTGCCTTCCTGCACCCCCACCTCCCCACTCCTACAGACTTCCCAGGGTATAAGACCCTCCTGTTAGTGGCCCACCCAAAGTTCCTGTTTACTTACCGAGTAACTATGACCAGTTTCTTTTTTCCTCCCTTCCCAAATCCTGTCTTTAAACTGGGACCTGCTGGCTTAACTGTCCTTAACTTGCTCATGGCTTTTCAGTTTTCCCTTACTGCATGCTCCATGAGGGAACTCCCAACACCTAGCTTGTGTTGTATAACCAAAAGTAGAAGTTGAAATGATTATTTGTGGGAGAAACGGTGTGTCTTCTGTTTGATTGTGGAGATTACTGTATGAGAATGAGTTGTCTTTGTCACAAAACTGTTATGTCATAAGCTACAGCTATTGGCCACTCAGACTGATCTCTAAAAAGTTCTTGACCTCTTCAGCGCTGCAGGTGCTAGTGTGACAGTCACTTGAATGGCTCTATTTAATCAGCCTGAAGTGAAAACGGCAGGTTGTTACATTACACTGTATTTTAGTAGTCAAAACTGCTCACCTCTGTAAGAAAGGTTGCTAAGCCAAGGTCAGAGGGAGCCAAAATGCCCAGGTCTACCTTGAGGGTGCCAAAATGGGAGGGCAGGACCCATTCCTGGGACTTGTTCTCTGGCCTGCACACACATTCCCTAGCGTAAGTATGCCCATAGCAATGCATGTCCTGCACAACAAACACCAGAAATGACGTTTTGGCGGCAGTGGTGTTATGCGCGGTCTCCCTTTTTGGCTGGGTTGGCCTCAAACTTGAGGTTCTTTACAAAGGTTTCTTGGGGCTGGAGAGACGGCTCAGCACCACTGGCTTTTTCCAGAGGACCCAGGTTGAATTACCACAATGGTCTGTGAATCCGTCTCGGGGTCAGATGCCCTCTGGGCACAGCGCACCTGGCGTGCACAGACACGTTTGCAGGCAAATGCTTAATACACATTTAAATTTGTGAAATACTAACTTGCTGCATATGGCAAATACATACCATGAACCCCAGAACCCAGGAGCCAGAGTTCAACTCCAACAGTCTGCATGGTTGTAAGCCAGCCAGGTTGACAGTGAGACACTGTCTCAAAAAAAAAAAAAAAAAATTCTGTGCATGAGTGAGGCTGCACGCAGGTATGTATTCAGATAACTGGAGGCTAGAGAGCATCAGATCCCCTGCAAGGGTGGCTTCAGAGGGTTTTGAGCCACCTGCTGTGGGCTTTGGGAATAAACCTTGGTCCTGTGCAAGAGCAGTAAGTGCTCGTAGTCACTGAGCTGTTTCTGTAGTTGAAACTTGTTTTGGGGTTAGGGTAGCTCATGTTGTCTTTGGACCTCAACCTAAGTGTTGGGATCATAGCAACGACCAGCTGTACACAGTGTAACTGCCAAACTCAATTCACGGGTGGGGCAGCCTGGGGGTGCTTCTTCCCCCAGTCTTTCTCCCTCTCCCTCCTCTGTCTGTCTCTGCCTCTCTCTTCTTCCTATTTGAAGCTTGAACCAAACCATCTCGGCTTCTGCTCCATTTCCCCTCCGAGGCAGAAGCTTCTTGAAATAGTTTGTGGTGCCTGGTAGGCAGAAAGGCCCAAGGGTTGCTGAGTAAGCGACACTTCTGAACTCCCCCAGCCCCACCCCTGCTGATCCTGCACAGCCCAGCCCAGGTGGGAAGTGTGTGAAGCCTGCCCTACCTTCCTTTTTGCAAGTGCTTATTGTCCACAAGTAGCTGTCCTCATACAGTTCAGCTTCCCCTGCATGCCTGCATTCTTGTCAGAGAGGCAGGTAGCCTGTCACCTCCTGAGGATGACACAGTCAGGAGCTATCTCTGGGTACATTCTCCACAGCAATGACAATCCATGTTCTTTAGTGAGCACAGCCCTCTCGCAATACTGTCAACCCTTTTTAGTCCTCTGTTTCCTCCTTGTAAACCGAGTTCCAGTGACAGAGAAAGCATAGGAATTTCACAAGGCTTTGAACAAATTATTTATCAATCGAGTGATAACTATCAGACCCTAAAGGCTCTGAGGATACTTAAGAAGCTGAACTAATTCCACAAACCCATTTCCTGTGGGGAATCTGACTAATGGATAATCAATGTGAGGTGTTCAATAACTGAATAAAACTTTCATTTTGGTTTTTCCAGACAGGTTTCTCAGTGTAGCCGTGGCAGTCCTGAAACTCACTCTGTAGACCAGGCTGGCCTCTCACATAGATCTTGTGCTTCTCCTTCCTGAGTTCAGGGATTAAAGGCATGCATCACCACCGCCCAGCTTAAAAAACTTAAAAAAATTTTTTAATCATAAGTGTGTTCATGTTTTGCCTGCCTAAATGTCTGTGTACCATGTGTTTGGTGCCCAAGGAGGCCAGAAGAGAGCAACTGGCTCCCCCAGAACTGGAGTTACAGATGGTTGTGAGCCACTGAGTGAGTGATGAGACTCAAACCCGGGTCCTGTGGAAGAGCAAGTGTTCCTAGCTGCTAATCCATCTCTCTAACCCTTTTAGTTTTAAAGATTTATTTTATGTGTTTTTTGTATATAAGTGCACAACATGATTATGTGTTTATTGCCATAGACATGGCTGGTGCTTGAAAACCCAGAAGAGGGTGTTGGGTTCCTTGGAACTGGAATTACTGGCAGGTGTGAACCACCATGTGAGTGCAGGAAACTGAGCCTAGTCCTCTGGGAGAATAGACGGCGGTGGTTGGTTGGTTTTTGACAGGGTTTCTCTATGTGACCTTGGCTGTCCCAAACTCACTTTGTAGACCAGGCTGGCCTCGAATTCACAGCGATCCTCTTGCCTGTGCCTCCAAGTGTTGGGGTTACAGGCGTGCGCCTGGGCTGAGCCAGTGTCTTAATGGATAAGCAATCTTCCAGCCCCTATCTTTGCCTTTCAGTTTTAATTTAATGAGTCCAGGCTCATTTTAAACGTTGCTATATAAGCCAGGCAGGTTTTAAGATGTATGTATGTATGTATGTATGTATGTATGTATATAGGTGTTTTGTCTGCATGCACATCTGCATGCCAGAAGAAGGCATTGGATCTCATAGGACTACAGTGATATATATGGTTGTGAGCTACCATGTGGGTGCTGGGAATTTGACTCGGGACCTGTTAAAGAGCAGCAATGCTCTTAATGGCTGAGCCATCGCTCCATGCCCTGCCAGGCAAGTTTTAAGCTCTACTCTCCTTGCCTTTTCCTCCTGAGTACTAGATTATAGATAGAAACTATTATACCCAGATTTATTTTTCTGAGGTAACAGGGTCTAAGTTGCCCAGGCTGGGTGTGAATTCACAGTCCTCCAGTCTCAGCCTCTCAAGTAGCTGAGGTTAGCAGCACAGTGCCATCGGCTCTGGATTGATGTATTACTGCAGCCTTGTTTGGGAGCTGTGGATGTGCTCAGCGGTCAAGCGGTTACCTAGCATGCACAAAAAGCAGGCTTGTCTTGGCACCGCCTACATAAATAGTCCTGACTTTGGATAAAAATAAACATCCTTTGGAGAAAATGAAACAGACTTGTAAAACAACACATCACATCTCCCTTGGAGCCCTGCTCCCAGAGGCTGTGGTTTCTCTGAGGTGCTCCATGATCTCCGAAAGAATGGGAAGTCAGTGCAGGAGTAGTGTTCCCTCACTGCCTTCACCTCCGTCTACAGGGAACAAGCAGCTCCCCGTGGTGGCCCGTGATAGTTCCGAGGTGACCCTAACTTCCCGAGGCCTGGAAGTGACACGACAGAGGTGGCACAGCCACGTGGATCTAATCAATTTTGCCCGCCAGCGATTTGAGTCATCTGGTTTTGATTCAGCCTAATGCCGCTTCCTCCTTCTCCTTCTCTTCAGGCGAGAATGGGACAGCAGAGACTAAGTCTTTCTCCAGAGCAGGAGTCATGGGAGTGGGAGGCGGATGCTGCCTGATGCCTTCCAGGAGGGTTTCTTGCCAGGGCCCTGCTTCAGCACCCCCTTCTACTGGAGGGCAGCAGTAGTCCTCTCCTGCCACACCTGAGGCGGCCAGTGAGGAAGGTTTCACAGTCTGACCACTGACCAGCACATCTCCCTCTTCTGTCTTAGCTCCTTCCTCCTTTCCACCTTCCCATTCCCCTGCTGATTCCTTTCCGTCCCCTCCACGATGATGAGACAAGCCCAGATGGTTTCAGGGATCTTAGAAGAACTCAGGCCAAACCCAGCTTTCTCAGAGAAGTGAATTAACTACTTTCAAGTCACACGGTTTCATTCCTTTCCTCACACAATTCAGAACATGCCTTCTAGCCCAGGGTTCACCTTTTCAAAGGCCATGTCGTCTGAAGCTCTTCCTAGACAACCCTGAAGCCACTCCTTGCCACTCTTCTCTGTTGCCATTATTGGTTCCTTCCTCTCCCTGATTCCCAGTGCTGGGCAATAAACCCAGCACCTTACAGTCACACTCAGGAAGAGCCCCACCATTGCCCTGTGTTCCTAGCCCTTGCTTTTTTGAGACTCTACCACATAGCCCATAATGGCCTCCAAGTCTCAATCCTCCAAGCATTGGACTTACAGCTGGAGACCAGCACACCCACTTTTATTTAACCCATTAGCTTCTGCTTCCCAAGTGCTGGGATAGGATCAAAGGCAAGCACTACCATGCTCAGCCTCCCCCCCCACCTTTTTTTTTTCTGAGACAGGGTTTCTCTGTGTAGCCCTGGACAGCCTAGAACTCACTCTGTAGACCAGGCTGGCCTCAAACTCAGAGATCTGCCTGTGCTGGGATTGAGTGCTGGGATTAAAGGATGGCACCTGGGCAACATTTTTTTTTTTTTAAATTACCAGTTCCTATATTTATTTTTCTGTCTGTTCTAACAGATTATAAATTCCATGAGAGCAAAAAGGGCATACTTCTTGCTGTGTCCTGTGTCCCCAGGACCCAGTATATTTTAAGTGTTTGAGAGGTTTTTGTTAAAAGCCAGACATGCTGGGGCTGAAGAAATGGCTCAGTAGTTAATAGCGCTGGCTGCTCTTCCAGAGGACCTGGGTCCAACTCCCAGCACCCACATGGCAGCTCACAACTGTGTAACTCCAGTTCCAGGGGGTCCTCCAACACCTCCAAACATGTCACACATGCAGGCAGGCAAAAAAAAAAAAAAAAAAAAAAAAACCCCAAAAAAAAACAATGCACATAAAATAAAAACAAATCACTAAAAAAAAAAAAAGTCAGGCATATGGTTCATTCCTGCAATCTTCTCCTTGAGGAGGTAGGCTGAGGCAGGAAGAGTGCTTTGCATTGGATACCAGAGAACGAGACTATGTCTCAAAACAACTCTTCCTCCCGCCCCCAGTAACTGAGTAAATACAGGGACCGTGGTCTGGCATGTGTTCTTGTCCTCAGATTTGTCTGATATGTATGAACAAGAACTAGAACTAGAATGTTCTGAAATCGGGGCTAGACTTAGGGGCAGGTTTTCAGGCATCTAATCCTTTTGGGCTTTTGCCACCAGCCACACAGAGCCTAGGATAGCACCACCTGGCTCTAGGGCACCAGGTGACTCACTTAGGCCTGCATGTGAGCAGCCAGCAGCTGCATGCAAGGGCTGACTCATCCTCGAGAGAGGACTCAGAGGGTACCTGGACCCACTGTGTCTTCCAGCAAGGGAGGGCTTGCTCCGGCCCATTCTAGGCTCAAAGGATTGCAGAGACAACTCCACACCTGGCCTGGTCTCCAATCTTGCATTCTCCTGCTTCCCAAGAGAAATTGTGGAACCTGAAGGAAAGGACACCTACCTTGCCCTTGGGTCTAGTGAGTGGGGTGCCCGATGTTCCTGTCAGCTTGCCTTCATATCTACAGGATAGGTGGGTCATCCTACATGGCTCAGAGAAAGTTACTGCTTGCCAGGCCAGCAAGTAGCTGACCAGCCTCTGTGTTCTGGACTATAAAAGGGAGCGGGCCAGCAGGAGGCCAAGCCAATGAGAATCCCCTCCTTTGAAGAGTGTCCAAGACGGGGCTGGCCATCCTGGGGGGAACCGCTTACCCCAGCCTAGCATTTTTCTCTACAGTGGAGAGGATGACAACTGCCCTTGTCTCTCACAGCTCACAAAGAGAGCTTTTCTTTCATCCTCCCCTTCTCAGAAGCACTTCTGCTGGAAGCCAGAAAGGTGGACTTGGGCTCCAAGGGGGTCTTCCTAGCTGCATGCTGACCTCACCAAAGCCCCTTCCCTACCTAGCCTAGGCCCTTTCTGCTGTCTAACCTCCCTTACAAGGCAGGGGCCCTCAGCTTTTCTCTGGCGATCTCCCAGCAGCAGTCGGGCTGGCTTTGCCCCTGTCCACGGTTCTTAATCCACCGGGGAACGAAAATGACTCATTAACATCGCCCAGGCATTCTCAGGGCACCTTGGCGTCTGATCCCTATGCTTTCCCCATTAGGGTGGCCTGTCGGGAATGATCTCCAGTCTAAGTCAGAGGTGAAGGAACTTGCCCAAGGTCACACAGTGGGGATGAGGCAAAAAGACTTGTCTTCTGCCTCGCAGTTTGGCAGGTGCTCAAATCTTTGTGGAAAGGGTGAGATAGGATGTTTCTTCATCTCTCTGGCCTCTGGGAGCGTCTGTAAAGGGGTTGGGAGGGCTGCCCGTCTTCCCAAATGAACATCCCATCTCCTTAGTTCACTCTCACTTTCAAAGTTAGATTTAACTCTAATGTCTCTGTGTTCAAATGGATACATCAGATCGATGGCCCCTCCTCCGAGAGCAAAGAGTAGATAGCCCGGTGACATTTCTTCTCCAAAGACCAGTAAGTAAACAGACAAAAAATATCCCCCCCTCCAATAAACAGCTCCACTTATTTCCAAAATGGGCAGCCGTAAGTCCTGCCCGAGGCGCCCCAACGCACAGTCCGCAGACACTGCGCCGGTCGGCGGGGAGGGGAGGCCGCGCGGCGGGGAGCGGGTGGGCGCCAGGCGCGCTGCCAGCCTCCGGCCGGCCGCACCGCGGGGGCCGCCGCCCCTCGCCACGTGGTGGTGGCAAGCGGCGGGGTCCCGGGCGCCGGCCCAGCTGGAGGGACCCGGAGCAGCCGGGGAGGAGGAGGCGGAGGAGACGGCGGCGGCGGCGGCGGCGGAGGAGGAGCGGGGCGGGCGGGCGAGCGGGAGGGAGGGAGGGGGCCGGG